TGCTAGCAAGATTATGCTCAAAATCCCTCAAGCTAGGCTTCAGCAGTATGTGAATTGAGAGCTTCCAGATGTACAAGCTGGATTTAGAAAAGACAGAGGAACCAAAGATCAAATTACCGACATCTGTTGGATCATAGAAAAAGCAAGGGAATTAAAAAAACACATCTACTTCTTCATTGACTTCACTAAAGCCTTTGACCATGTGGATCACAACAAACTGTGGAAAATTCTTAAAGAGATGGGAATACCTGATCACCTTACCTCCCTCCTGAGAAATCTGTATGCAGTTAGAAGCAACAGTTAGTACTGGACCTGAAACAATGGACTGGTTCCAAATTGGGAAAGGAGTACGTCAAGGTGGTATATTGTCACCCTCCTACATCATGTGAAATGCTGGGCTGGATGAATCACAAGCTGGAATCAAGATTGCCGGGATAAATATCAACAACCTCAGATATGCAAATGGCATAAAAGCAAAGATGAACTAAAGAACCTCTTGAAGAAAGTGAAAGAGGAGAGTGAAAAACCTGGCTTAAAACTCAACATTCAAAAACTAAGATCATGGCATCTGATTCCATCACTTTGTGGCAAATAGATGAGGGAAAAGTGGAAGCAGTGACAGATTTTATTTTCTTGGGCTCCAAATTCACTGTGGATGGTGACTGGATGGTGATTGCACCCATGAAATTAAAAGACGCTTGTTCCTTGGAAGAAAAGCTTTGACAAACCTAAACAGCATATTAAGAAGCAGAGACATCATTTTACTAACAGCGGCCTGTCTAGTCAAAGCTATGGTTTTTCCAAGAGTCATGTTTGGATGTGTGAGCTGGACCAGAAAGAAGGCTGAGCATTGAATAATTGATGGTTTTGCACTGTGGTGCTGGAGAAGACTCTCGAGAGTCCCTTGGACTGCAAGGAGATCAAACCAGTCAATCCTAAAAGAAATCAACTCTGAATATTCGTTGGAAGGACTGATGCTGAAGTTGAAGCTCCAGTATTTTGGCCACATGATGCAAAGAGCCAATTTACTGTAAAAGACTCTGATGCTGGGAAAGATTGAGGGCAAGAGGAGAAGCGGGCAACAGAGGATAAGATGGTTGGATGGCATCACTGCCTTAATGGACATGAGTTTGAGCAAGCTCCGGGAGACTTAAAGGACAGGGATGTCTGGTGTACTGCAGTTCGTGGGGTCACAGAGAGTCAGACATGACTTTTTGACTGAATAGCAATGCTTAACAGTATTTTATTTATTTATGGCTGCCCTGGGTCTTAGTTGCAGTGCATGGACTTTTCTAGTTTTGGTGCCTAGGTTTCCTGTTGTGGTGGCTTCCCTTGTTGCAGAGTGCAGGGCTCTGGGTACATGGGCTTCAGTTGTTGAACAGGGCACATGGACTCAATAGTTGTTACTTGTGGCATTAGTTACCCCATGGTGTGTGGGATCTGCCCAGACTGGGGATTGAACCCATGTCCCCTGCATTAGCAGGGGATTAGCAGGCAGATTCTTGACTATTGGACAACCAAGGAAGTCCCCCTGACAGGATTTTAGAACAATGTTTCTAAAATAGAACTTTGTGCAGTGATGGAAACAGTCCATGTTTTTACTGTCTAATCCATGGCCACTAGCCACATTCCGCTACTGAAGAACTGAAATGTGATTCGTGTGACTGAGGAACTAGACTTTTAATCATGCCAAGCTATTACCAAGTTAAATTTAAATTTTAGTAGCCATTTAAGGCTAGTGACTACTATATTTGACAATAAAGTTTTAAAAGTACAAAAAAAATAATACAGGTATCTTCTGCTTTTTTGAAAGTTCACTTTTCACCACCTCACTTTTACAAAAGACCTGTATTAGTACCCATTTTGTTAACCAGAAAGAAATCCAAAGACAATTTCACTTTTACAGAAAAAGACAAAAAGTGAAAATAACATCCAGAGTTGGTTTTGCAGTGAGCTGTTATAGGGGCTGACAAGAGTGGCCCCTCGGGGTTCCTTCCAGGGAACCACACACAGCATCTCAGCATCAAGCCACCATAGCTTTGACCTGAGTCTGTGAGCATCTGTGTTTTATCCTGATTTATTTCATGCATTGGTTAACAAGATGTGTCCTTAGGTAATTGATTCTTTGCTTCATGCCGTTTTGGCTTATGGAAGGTTTCATAAGAGCACTGTCCTTTTGGACAGTGGTAAAACATGTCTATAAGGACACGTGTATCCTATCTCAATAAGCTATTAAAAATAATATAAGCATTTAAAATGTGATCACTAAGGTTAGAAATTTTATTGCAGCATGGAGTGAGTTTGGATTTCATAATAGATAATGTGGACAGAGCACAGAAAAAACTGCGATTTTTATTTAAATGGTTTATTTTCTAACTCAATAAAAAATGATCCCGCATTAGGGTTGGTCATGCCCAAGTTCAGTTTTAGACTAGGAAGAAACAAATGACAACCTGGATGTCATTAATTGTTGTTCTACAAAAGGTTCTGCTATTGTAAAATAATATTCTTCCGTGTACACATCCAGATGTAAATTCAAACATGTAAAAATCTTTTGAGGTGGAAGCAAAGCTTGTTATTCCCATTTTACAGATAAGAAAAATGAGGCTTATGAAGGTTCAATTCCCATAATCATGAAACAAGAAGCAAAAGTAATGCCTCGTAGCTCTTGAAGCCCAGAGGATTTTATTATCTTTCACAATATGAACAAAACAATTTCTGATAAACTGTCTTGGGAAGGGGACTTCACCAAGGAGCTGGAAGGATTTGCCATTTTTAAGTCCTTCATTTAGAAGTCTTTTTGTTTTTTGTTTTGGCTTTTAAAACTGTCCCAAGATTAGTTCTCAGAAGGCAGAGCACTGTGCATTTATCAAGGTTGCCCTTTACTGGGTTGGATCTGTGTTTTTATGCTTTCCATGGGAATGCCAAGTGAAAAACCCTAGCCTTTACTCCCCAGTCCCTCCCTCCACCATACACAGCCCCTCTTCCCAGGTAGAAAGTTAGCCAATCATAATTCCACATCTGGCAGTTTAGAAAGATTTAGAAAGATGCTAAGCTCTCTCGGGATCACGTTCCCTGGACGAGGGGAGGCGCAGTGGACATAGTATTCAAGAGATGACCTCAGTTGGACAAGCCACCCTGCTCTCCATGCTCCCTTCATCTGGGTGGCCCTGGGTGTTTGCTAAGAGCAGCAGACAGCAGCACAATTTAACACAAATGAATACACTGAATGCTTTCAAACTGAAAGTCTTAATCCTTTTTGGTTCAAGTTCTAGGGGGAAGGTTGGAGCCAGTAGTGATTTAAAAAATAATAATAATAAAAAAAATTGGTTCACCCATCTGTCAGTACCGCCAAGAAATATTCACATGAGTAGGACTATCCAAAAAAATGAAGAGTAGCTCTTTTCCAAGACAGATCTCTGGAACTCTCTCCCTCCCTTGCTCAGAACCACTTCCTCTCCTCAAATCTCACTTTAAAACCTTCCTGTTTGCTTTAGCCTATGACTGACTCAGGCCCCATTCATCTTTCTTTCCTCTCTCCCCATGACCACATCCTTCCACTCTCCCCTCACCGGCCACCGTGAGAACACTCGCCGGCCTCTTCCTCCCTCTATGGCTCAGCCCCTTGCCTGCTACCCTGCAGTGACAGCCTGACTTGTGGGGGGTCCTCGCTGGCCTGCATGAGTCACCCTCACACAGCCCAGACGTGTTTGGAAGGGTGAGGGCCGTCTCTATGAGGGTCCTGCCCCCTGGTTCTCAGAGGAGGAAGAGGTAGTGAATTTCAAGGTGACTTCTGTCTAAAGAGGCGCTTTGCCAGTTTTCTTTCACAAGTTAGAGACTCAGAAACTTGAGAAGCAGAACACAAAAAGACCTTGTAATAGACCCACAAAGATACAAACTCTCAGGCCTGTTTCCCGTAGGAGACTTTAGGTGAAGCCTGAAGGCTAGATGGGGTTGAAACACAGGCCAGACCAGAGCTGTTGTTACACCTCCAGAATAGAGTTGTAATTGTCTCAACTGCCTTCTTCCCCTCAAAAAACGAAGTAAAATTCCTCAGCAAAATTCTAAGGCAGGATTGGCCCTGGGAAAACTGTCTCAAAGTAAGCCCAAGTGTTGGAATCCTTTTCATCAGGGCGTACCTGCAGCTCTTTCTAAAGAGTATGTCCAGAAACAGACTCATAGAACAAATTTATGGTTACTAGGGTGGAAGGGTGGGGGAGATTGGGATAGATAGATTTGGGAGTTTGGGATTAACATCTACACACTGCTATATTTAAAGTAGATAACCAGGGACTTCCCTGGAAGTCTGGTGGTTAAGATTTCGCCTTCCAGTAACAGGGCGTGGGTTCAATACCTGGTTGGGAAGCTGAGGTCCCACATGTCTTGTGGCCAAAAACCCAAACCATAAAACAGAAGCAATATAGTAACAAATTCAATAAAAGCTTTAAAAATGGTCCACATTAAAAAAATATATTAAAAAAAAAAAGGTAACCAACAAGAACTTACTGTATAGGGGAACTCTGCTCAATATAATGTAATAACCTAAATGGGAAAAGAATTAGAAAAAGAATAGATGCATGTATATGTATAACTGAATCACTTGCCTATACACCTGAAATTACACATCACAGTTAATTAACTTTTGCCTGCTTGCATGCTAAATCACTTCAGTCGTGTCTGACTCTTTGCGACCCTACGGACTGTAGCCTGCCTGTACCCTGCCAGGCTCCTCTGTCCATGGGATTCTCCAGGCAAGAATCCTGGCGTGATTGCCATGCCCTCCTGCAGGGGATTTTCCCAACCCAGGGATCGAACCCGTTTCTCTTAGGTCTCTTGTGTTGGCAGGCAAGATCTTTACCACTACCGCCACCTTGGAAGCTCTGCGCCAATATAAAACAGGAGTGTGGTTTCAGATTGGCTGTGTAGGCAATAGGCAAGCTGTGGGCTCTCCCACAATGCACCGCTCTGCGATCCCGAGGCACAGCAGCTCCCGCAGACATGGAGGCCGGTCAGGCCGCGCCATCTCCACAGCAGCCTCCCCACCAGCTCTAAAAGAGGTGCTCCCAGAGGCCCGCGCCTCAGGTTTTATCTTATGAAACACACACTGGTCTTACTTTTGATTTATCATAATAGCAACAGCTGCCTTTTTTCTTTTTTTAACCGCATCGCTTTTTTCCAAAGCACGTTCGCGTTTGCTACCTGATGGACGTCAGTTCAGTCAGTTCAGTTCACTCGCTCAGTCGTGTCAGACGTCAGGCCACTAATAATTTTCCCATTTTGCCCTTAAGGGATTAAGACCATTGCAGTTTGACTAAGGTCGCAGAGAAAGTAAGCAGTAGAGTTGAAATCCACATCAGCCTTCTATGGGAGCCATGCCCCAACTCTCCACACGCCCAGGTGAGCACTTCAGTGTCCGTAGACTAACAATCTGGGGAGGGCTTCCACACGGTGGATTTGCAGACAGCCCTTGGAGATGGCTTTCCAGTGGATTGTGGGGGTTTAGTTTCATTTGGGATCACAGATTTTCTTTTTGATCTTGCTCAATCCTAAAGGAAATCAGTCCTGAATATTCATTGGAAGGACTGATGCAGAAGCTGAAGCTCCAATACTTTAGCCACCTGATTCTGAGAGCTGACTCATTTGAGAAGACCCTGATGCTGGGAAAGATTGAAGGAGGGGGAAAAAGGGAATGACAGAGGATGAGATGGTTGGATGGCATCACAACTTGATGGGACATCAGTTTGAACAAGCTCCGGGAGTTGGTGATGGACAGGGAAGCCTGGCATGCTGTAGTCCATGGGGTTGCAAAGAGTCAAACGTGACTGAGCCACTGAACTGAACTGCCTCATTTAAAACCATAAGAGTGAGTCAGCGTTACCCAAGCTCACCCAACAGGTGGTAGAGTGATAGGCCTCTGAATTATGCTTGTGGTAGAGCCTACCTGGAGTTAAGTCTGGAACAATTAATTCTGCTGTGTGAAAAACAAATCATTAAAAAAACTTATTTTGAAAAATTAGAAAAAGAAATAATTTAAAAAGTGCCCAATTTCAGTTTTGAAAGATATGTGTGAGAATTTGTATTCAGTTGTGCCATGGTGTTCCTCCCCCCACAACCTTCTGTGTTATCCAGAAGTTTCTCTGAAGGTGAGCAGCTTGACCTGCACTAATGTGACAATACTTGTCCAGTTGTGAGATCTTGGGCAGATGGAACAGATGATTTGGAGAATGGGACAGGGAAAGAGAGAAAAGGGGCTGTTAGCATGGACACTAGGACCTGGAGAGCCATTTCTGAGTGGAGGCGGGGAAAAAAGGGAGTGAGGCCGTGAGGGTCCTCGCACGGTGCCTCCGTGCCACACCTGGGAACAGGGACTTGAGAAGTGGTTGACGTGTTTATTTGGTGTGAGGTCAGCTACAGCTCTGAAAGCAATAACACCATTCCCATAAAACAGAACTCCCAAGCTGGGCCACCAACCTGCTTGCTGCCAAAGAAGGGTGGTGGCCTAATAAGTGAGACATTGCTGTCAGCTCCCCATAAATGGAGGATTCATTCACTTTGTGAATTATGCAGGCTCTTCCTTGACCTCCCATCTCCAAGCCATCTATTGCTTTAACCAATTTCTTGTTTTGTGCTGCTTCTTTCAGATGAAGAAGAAGGGAAAAGAGATTTGATTTCTGTTGCTATTAACCATGCCAATAGAAGGTTGTGTGAAAAATGAAGCTATTGGTAGAAGTTAGGAAAAAAATATAGTTATAAGACCAGCAGAAGACCTGAACTTCAGAGAAGACCACAAATGAATTGAATTAAAAGCACAGTTCTCTTTTCAAAAGCTAACACGAAATGAGGATGGGTTTTGTACAAAAGCAGCTGCTCCTGCCAGTGAGCTTATGTATGTCCTTCTTTCAAATGCCACAGTCAGACCTAGGAAATTCCCTGGGAAGTCCCCTCTACCACAGTACTTGCAGTTTCTCCATTTGACTATGATTCTGTTGGATCTTGGGAGATTGATCTTCAGGAAGCTGTTATCACAAAACAGCTCTTCCTGGAGTGAGGAGAGAGCATGGTACCTGGGAAGACAAAGGGAGTGGACTGGGACAGGGGAATCTGGTTCCCATTTTAGTTCTACAACTAGCAGCCTGGTGGCTTTAGGAGAAGCCTGCCATTTCCCTGGCCTCAGTGGTTTCATCTGTAAATTGGAACAGCCTGGAGATGATAAAAGTGAAAGCATCCATCCCCATGCCTGGAAGTGCTCAAGAAATGATTCTTTCCTGCCTGCTGACTTCCATTTTCCATCTGTAAGGTAAGGAATTGAACAAGAAGATCTCTGAGGCCCTGTCCACTCTAATGCTTTAAGGTTAAGTCACTTTTAGGTGACTCTATTGGTGACATTTTAAGAAATTGCCGGCTAACATTGTGTGGTTGTAGTCTATTAGATTGCATCCAATCAGAATAGCGTTGTGATTGTGAGTTTGTGTTATGATATTTTATTTTCCCTTATCCTGATTTTTATTTTCTATTTTATGGCTTGTGCTTTATTAAGTTGTCATAAATCCTTTGGGGTATAAGAAAAGAAGTATAACAAACTGGATGAAAGAATGCCTTAATAGAAAGCCAGAGAATAATGCTAATACTAATAAACTGCTTTTATTGGCTACATACTATGTATGAGGAACCGTGCTAAGCACTTTATAAACATTAGGTCACTTAAAGGCTCACAATAACCCCTTGAAGTTATAATTATCATCCCCATTTTATAGATGAGGAAATTGAGTCTTTGAGATAACAAGCAGGTTGTCCAAGGTCACACAGTTAATGAGTGTCAAAGCTGAGTCAGAACTCCAAGTCTGGCTAAATCAGGGCAGTGGTGGGCTGACAAGCAGGCTCCCAAAAAAACCAAAACCAAAACAAAACTCTAAATGCCTGATACAGAGTATTTACTGATTTCCATCATGTAAATACTTCCACCATGACCAATTTCAAGTTTCTAACAGTTAAATCAGCTAAAAAAAAAAATCCCAAATATTTAACAATCTGCTCTTGCAAGCCAACAGGAGCCAACCCCAAAACACTCCAGAAAAAGCCTGAGTCATCACCACTGAGTTACACTGAGTTCCCTGGATCATAGACTGAGGTTGGGGATAATAGAAAAGAAAGAAGAAAGGGAGGATGGTCATAAACAGAGAAAGTAAAGCGATGACAGATTCATTCATTCATTCATTCATTCATTCCACATAGGCTTACTGAGTTCTGGCTAAGGACCAAGCATTGTGATATGTGCTTTGGATTTGGGCAAGAGTAAGATAATCAGGGTGCCCAAGCCAAAGAGTCCAGAGTGTTTGGGGGAGAGAGCAACACTTAAGCAAATAATTGAACACATTATGTGATAGAAGTATGTATGAGTCTACAGGAGCCCAACAGAGGGAGGAATGAATTCTGTCTGAAGGATGCAATTAGCCACATGCACATGGGGACTCCTAGGTAACACACATTGTTCTTCCTTTCCAATTTATAAAGAGGTTTGCTTCACTAGAGAGGTGTGCTCAGCTTAGAATTCTGCATTTCTGATTATAGAGAAACCAAAGATGGGGCTAAGAAAGGGATAATGATATTGAAAGTAAGCTCTTAAGAGTTAGGGGTGTTGTCTGATTTACCCCTATATTCCTGAGACCTAGCACCATGCAGAGAACATGGTAAGCCCTCAATAAATATTTGTTGACTGGATGAACCACTGTTGAATAATGATTTATGAGCTTCAAAGAATTTTGCTTGAGGAAAGAGGACTAATAATAGGTAAGAAGTAAGCAATGTAAGTGGGCTTCCCTGGTGGTTCTAGTGGTAAAGAATCCACCTGCCAATGAAGGAGATGCAGGAGACCCAGCTTGGATTCCTGGGATGGGAAGATCCCCTGGAGGAGGGAATGGCAACCCGCTTCAGTATTCTTGCTTGGAGAATCCCATGGACAGAGGAGGCTGGCAGTCTGTAGTCCACAGGGTTGCACAGAGTAGGAAACAACTGAAGCGACTTAGCACAGCACAGCAAGCAGTGGAAGTGCATGGAGGATCGTGTAGAACAGAGTAAGTGGAGGGCAGTACATGGGCAGGGGCTCCAGCTGTCCAGGATGGAGGTAAAGGGCCCAGAAGGTCGTGTGTCATGCGATGCTGTCACCTGTTGTGATGGCTGACCTCTCTGAGGAGGATCAGAGGATGGGGCAGATCTCTGGCTTCCTCTGAGAAGCAAGCTGTCCTGTCACATGCCTGCAGTTGTATTTGGTGAGCTGGGGAATGCCAGGAATGATACCATTCATCATTTGACTTCAAAGTTCAATATGGGAAGTGTTAGTTACTCAGTCATGCACGATTCTTTGAGACCCCATGGACTGTAGCCCACCAGGCTTCTCTGTCCATGGAATTCTCCAAGCAAGAATATTGGAGTAGGTTGCCATTCCCTTATCCAGGGGATCTTCCTGACCCAGGGATCAAACCCAGGTCTCCTGCATTGCAGGCAGATTCTTTACCATCTGAGCCACCAGGGAAGCCTTCAGTATGGGAGAAGCTAACAAGTCATTGGTGTGATGAAGTTTGAGGATTTCAATGGATTTCCTTCACATTTGTTTGTTCTTCTCTTCCTCTGATTATTTGAGTGGAGGCTGCTGTTATGGAAAACCAGGTAGTTTGAATATTCATTCTTGGGACTTAGGACTGGTTTTGTAAGAAATAGGTCTGCTACAAATGTGTAATTTGTAGATTATTTTCATCATAACAATGCCTTGTACATGTGGATGGTTCCTAGCTGCAAAGATTTTTCCGGTAATTACTTTTGATGCCTCTTCAAGACAATCCCATGAGGACATTAGAAAAGATGTGAGTGGCTCTGTTTTACTAAAGAAGTCAAATAACTCACTCAGAATCACAGAACTGAGTTCTAGTAGAGCAAGAGCCCAGCATTTGTCGTTCCAGACGCAGAGACCTCCATGTCCTCTTGGTTTCTCTTACGATAATGCCTGCCTCCTGGAGTGAGCTGGGACCCAGCAGCATCCTGGAATGGTCTGTCTTGGTATTCGAGAACTTTTTTCTCTATAGTGAAAAATGGAACCTGCCTGCCCCAGTTTCCAAGCCACCTCATGATTCGAAAAGCAATTGCTTTAACTCTGACAAAATTAGGCCACCTCCAACCTAAATGGAGCCTGTTTTCAGAGTTAAGACCCTGTGTGGAGACAGCTCTTTCCTGGAAGGATAACAAAAGCATGCTTATGTGTGTATTTCACTTGATGGAAAGGAATCCCCAGTGAGGCCATTTTTTCCCCCTGAATTCTCCCAAGTCCAGAATGTGTCCAAGTTTCCAAGATAATCTCAGAAGAGCCATTCATCTATGAAGATGGCCAAACTGTCTTCCAGCTCAGTAGACAGGGTCTGTTTGAGAGAAAGAAGGTGAGGGGGTGAGAATAGGGGTGTGGGAAGAGGGTGAGGGAGGCAGAGAGCAAAGGAGTAAGACGTGCAAGGAGAAAATGTGTGTGGACGAATGCTGACGGAGAAAGAAAGGAGACCAAGGGGCCAGCCCTGACTCCGGGGTCCCATCTGCCAGGGACATTTGCCGCTGATTCTTTTTAGAACCTGTCACGGTCTGCCTGGCGAGCTGTCACTTCTCATCACTTGGCTGTCACTGAGGATCTTTGTGTCTTCACTGTCATGAAGAGACCTGGCAACTGGCAGAGAATTTCCTGGGGTGCTACGTGATACGCCATTATTTGCCTCTTATCATCTTAGTAGAGTAGTTACACCGCTGTCAGAGGTAATGGAGACCATGCCACTAAGAAAATTGGCTGTAATTTATTTATCAATTGTTTCTGCATACCACAAAAGCGGCCTTCTACTTTACAGTTGTGTCTAAGGTATTTGAGAGCCCCTGAAGTTCATGGTTTTCCGGTATTCTAAGTTCTACTTATGGCCTTTCCTGTATATGACACACAACACCACCCTTGTGGCTTGCAGGCCGTTTTCTTCTTTGCTTTCTTTAGTCACAAATCATCCTGAGGCATCCCTTAAGTGCATTTGTATTGTTAAGTGCACCGGCTTGATTTGGTGTTAATTCAATTTGAGTGCCCTTAATATCTTGTGGGGGTGATGCAATGCGGGCCGCCTGTACCTTGTAAAATCGGGTCCCAGGTCTGCCTGGGAGCAAAGCACCTTTCCCATAGCCATTTACCAAAGTTGCTGATAAAATTTTCATAAGGGAACCTTTTTAGTCTGACCCTATTGTGTTATTGTACCATTAAGTCTCGGAGAACTGAGCTGGCTTCTAGTGACAGCTTATCACGTTCTCCATTATTGCTGGCTGCCTGAAGAGCTAACGGGCTGGGTGCAGTGCAAGCTCCCTCCTCCCTCCTACTTCTGGTCCGTTCTGGGAAAAGCTGATGGGCCAGCACCTAGGGGCTAATGTGTGATTGTCTCTCTGTGGGTGCCAGAGAGCTGAGCTCTCTTTCTGATGAGCCTGGGAAAGCTTGAGAGGTCCTGAAGGACTTGGCAGAGCCTTCGTGACAAGAAGGGGAGAAGAATGGGTTGAAATAGAATGAGAATTACAAAGCACTTTGCTTAAAAAGCAACCCTCCGCAGCAGTAGTGATAATGTTGACACCACTTTGACACATAACTGGAGGTAGTGGATTGGGCCAGGACCTTTGGAAGGTTGGCATTAGAATTATGACAACATGATTAACTCAAAAAGAACTCCTAATGCTGGGGTTTGGATGTACCTGGGTTTGCATCCAGCCTCATTCATTGGCTTACCTGCTCTATGACCTTGATCATGTTTAGTCTTGGAGCTTCAGGGTTCCATCTGTGAAATGGGAATATCAAGGTCAACTCCATAGGCTTTTTGTGATGATAATGTGAGCATGGAGTGTGGCTGACACTCACACAGCATGTCTTAGGGTTATTTTAGAATCTCAGAGGTCACAAGGTGAGAAATCTGGTTCACATGGTAAGGCAATTAGCTGGCTACCACAAGATGAAAAAATGAAAGAGAAAAATCTAGAAATCTGGTCTCCAGATCCTCATCTAGGTGTCTTTCCATTCTTCCCATTGTCTACCCGATGCTGTCCACAGACATCAGAAACTTGGTTGGATTTGGGGTGCAAGAGGCTACATTCCACTTCCCTAATGATGGTATTTCTTAACAGCAGACTAAACTGCTTCTCAGACCTTTTGCTTGTCTTGGTGGAAATGGCTTGAGCCTGCCTAACCGTGTGAGCCTAGGCCCTGCTTGTCTCTGCTGCTGTGGCTGAAAAATCTCAGTGGTCTGAGAA